CGCACGCACGCACGCACGCACGCATGCACACACACACACACGCACGCACGCACGCACGCATGCGCGCGTGCGTGTGCGCACACCCAAAAGACGCTCCAGGAGCAGCGCCAGGCGCTCGCAGCTCGTGCAGCTGCGGCAGGGGCTGAGGCCGACATTGACCTGCAGGAGGCGGTGGCGGCCGGCCTGGAGCGCATCAACTCAACATACCTGGTGTCGATTGTCGCGTGTGAGCAGCTTGAACCACTCGCATGCTTGCAGCGCGCTTGCAAAAGGCGGGGGCAGTTGAAGTGTGATAGCTATGGCACTCGCGCGACTGCGCCGCAGCTGCGCCGGCCAGCACGAGCGCCTCACTCTGTCATGACTTTTCACTTGGAACACGCAGGCCTGGCGGTGAACATGCAGGCGCTCATGAGGCCGGAGCAGGTGGCGGCGTCCTGGATATCCAGCTGGTGCGCTCGCGCTGCAGCGGCTCTTGCTTGGGGTTGGTCCCACACACGTGGGCAGGCCCTGCAAGGGACAAGATCTTGCCCTGCTGCGCCCCGTTCCGCCCTGCAGGTTGCTTGCACAAACTCTATACACACGGGAGACGGGATTGCCATTCCGCAAGAGAGCTGCCTTGCTCTTCGCATAGCCTGCCTCTCAGCCTGGCCCCAGCCAAAGCTGAGCGCCGCCTCCGTTCGCCTCAACCTACTCTGCTCTCTTATCAACACCTGGCTGCAACCTTGATAGGCCCAGGTGAGGTCCCCAAGAAAATCGATTGACAAGGTTAAGCTGAGTGTGCGCTGCTGTTGCTTGCCAGCCTGCAGCCGAATCACGCAAGCTGCGACCTGCAACCTCACCTGGTGATCTGTCCCCGTGTCAGCCAACCCATCTGCTCGCCCCCTTTCAACACCTTGCCCAATGCCCCCCAATTCCCGGTCCACTTGGCCTTCACCATTTGCAGCCCCGCGCGCAATGCCGCCGCCCTGCAGGATGCCCCTGATGACGGCCACGTTCGAGGCCCTGAGAAGGCAGCGCAGCCTGTGAGCTCCACCCGCTGCCAAGGGCAGCCCAACCATTTGGCAGGCGAGGCATCGATGCTGGATCCTGCGTCACCTGGGATTGTGCAGTCAAGTTAGCACCCGGGACCTGTTGGTCGCCATGCCTTGTGAGTCTCGTGCAACCCACGCGCAGCAGCTCACAAATGCCACGAATACACGATTGCGGGCTTTACAATGTGTGGTTGCATCTGTTCTGGTCAAACATCAGATGCGTCGAGACAGTTGCTTCGCGTTGCAGCAGCATCGCGATTCAATGCATACATCGTGCGTGGGCATCCCTACCAGCAGGCCCCCCTCCGTTTCCGGCGCGACGGTGGGTTGTGAGGCCAGTGAGGGGCCGTGGTCGGGACCTGTGGGGTTATTGTGTATGTTATAAATGCCCTGGGTGGCTGGTGCCTTGTTCTTTTTGATGCTTTTGGCCGGTGTCTACTTTGCTGCACTCTCACACGGTCAAGACCAATACGACACCATGGTGGGTTGTCTGCGACTCGCAAGCCACTGTCACCAGAACTACAGTCACAACAGTTTCATGGCACGGCGTTGCTCTGGCTAAACTTTTCCTTACACGTGCAAGTGGTGGTGCTCAGTGTTTGCTTTGCCCATGCAAGTGTCGTGGTATTTGTGTTTATGTAATTCAGCATGTTTCTGGGTTGACGGACATTATGCATGTGATATGTGCGCAGTGTGGTCAGAATTTGGGCGGTCAGCTGCGTCCATCAGCGAGTCAAAGCCCATGGTACCAGTGACCAAATGCCCCTGAGGTGCAGTAATGGATTTTCGCGATCACAGCATTGGCACGGCGCCTTGCACGCATAAAAGCATGCTGCGCGCATAATTGCATGTGATGACGTGCCATGGTCCCCATGCTTTCCAGCAGAAAGGCAAGGCACTGGGAAGGGGCGGGCTGGGAGACATGAGGGTGGTGGGATGAGAATGATGAAGTATCATACGCCATTGCCGCAGGCACACAATTTTCAAGCTGGCTACCATGCTGTATACATTTACTGCTTGATTACAATCCTGCCAGATCGGGCACGGTCCAGAGTTTCATCGATACTCGACATCGCTTTCGCTGCAGCCAAAATGTTGTCGAGATTACAGCCGTGCCTAGCTGCACGATTGCCAGCAGCTTTTCCTGGGTGCGGCATGCAGCAGGCAGGAAGCCTCATGACATGCGGCAGCAGCGGAGCACCAGTGCGAGCAGCGGCCGCAAAGAGCGCCCCACCTGCAGCAAGTGAAGGAGGGGTAAGTTTGATGTATGCCTTCAGTCTTGTTCTCAAGGTCTTCCATTTGTAGAAGCATGAGTAATGCGCACTTGCCTGTGGAGGTGCATTTCCACTCTGCCATGGCCTGGACGCACCCCTCGCCCCCACAACCCTCAGGCAAGCGGCTACTGGACAATCCAATGTGAGACAAGCCTGGAGGTGGAGGTTAAAAAGGTGGGTGACTTGCATCACGTGTGTGCCAGGTAATTTATACACATGTGAAGCAAATTGTGCTACAGTATCACGCACATGCACACCCCCTCACCTGCGCTCACTTGCATTCAAGACATGCATTGTGCACGCAGCCAAGCATGTTCATGCATATGCAGTCCCCGTGCAAATCACACTGCACACACAAGCAAAAGGCCTCAAATCTCAACACACACACACACACACACACACACACACACATGCACGCACATGCACACACGCGACATCCACAGTCTCAGTTTCTGGTCACCGCGTGGCCCGTCCAATCCGGCGACCAGGTGAGCGGCCTGAGAGCCAGCAGACGCCCTACCCTCGCCGCCGTCCACTCATTGCATGCGAGCATGCACACGCAACAGAAGCAGGCCCAAGTCAGCCGCTGCCACCAGCCAACGCCGCGCACGCCCACACCGCAGGCGATGCGGCTAATCCAGGAGGCGGGCGACCCCGCTGCCTCTCACAACTGTTTTGCTTGGAAAGTGGGGGCAGCACATCGCTCTTCGGACGACGGCGAGCCCGGAGGGACGGCGGGTGAGCACCAGGAGTTGCGGGCGCCCGGCCTGAGGTGCTTGCAGCAGTGGCACACCTGTCAATATTGACCAGCCCATATGTGGGGTGGAGCGACGACTGCATAGCGGTCCTTGTGTGCAGTCCAGCACTGAATTTCAAGAGTTTCAGCGAGTGCCTGAGCACGCCAACACGGGCCTTCCCAAGTTCATCCTCTCCATTTGTGCTTTCAAACCTGTTGGGTCACACGCTCCTGGTGTCCCCCCAACATTACATGCTGCCCCCTGAACTTGCTCATTGAACGCGCCCTGCTGCACCTCAGGGCGCCCAATTCTTGGGGCTATAGAGGGCGACGGTCTGGATGGCGTGGCAGTTCTGGTCACCAGGTGCGGTTGGCGTGAGGGGAGAGCACAGTTGCGAAATGCGCGGTCTGAACTAGGCATGCCACCTGGCCGTCAGGCAAAGTGCGGTACGGCAGTCAGGACTGTCCGCCAATCAAAGGCAGCAAGGTGCAAAGCGCAGCCATACTGACAGCAACTGTGTCCACTTGCGTTCACCTGCGCAGTCATTTAATTGGTTTCAAACCGTCCCTTGCCCATCGGTACCCAGGCACTTTGGTGGCATCAAGCTTGGCTCTGGCGGCTTGGTCAGGGCATACGGCGGCGCCGCCCGCGACTGCCTGCGCGCCGCCCCAAAGCAGTTTGTCAAGCGACAAATCGAGCTGCGGGCAGAGTGCCCGTTCCAGTCGTTGGGGGCAGTGTACGGGGCGATGCAGCGGCACGGCGCTGCCGCCAGCGGCGAGGAAGAGTACACAGAGTCCGGGGCTGTGGCGGTGCGGTTCCTGGTTGACGAGGACGCTGCCGCAGCGGTGGTGGACGCAGTATCCAATGCGACGAGCGGGCGGGTCGTGCCCATGGTGGTGCCGCCTGATGGTTAACATTGTGGCGCAGTCGATTGGGCATGGACGAGTCAGGCGCGCCGGGCTTTGAGGGCGGGGGGACGGCGGCAGGATTGCTGTTGGCAACAAGTGGGGGGCAACTGAAATGCAACCACTTCAGTTCCACCTGCTTTACCGCAGCAAGTACATGCGCGCGCGATGCTTCAAGCTGCGCGTGTCGCTTCCGAGGTGGCAGCAGCAAGAGCATGAGTTGTCGGTGCATGCGCGGGGTGGCCAGCCCGGTGCCGTTCACACACCCCAGCTGTTGCAGCACAGGGCTACGGTGTATGAATCAGGATAGATGCGGTGTATGAGCAAGCAACTGCCCTAGAACCAATAACAACTCCACAGGGCGTACCAGTCTCACTGCGTCAGATCGGATCCGTTCAGCCAGGCTTCCACGCTTTTATAACGTTGAGGTCGTGAGAGATTGCCTGGATTCGTGCTTGGCTGCGGTCGACGAGGAGGGCCAACTGACCAGCAGCTCTGAGCAGGCGCGGCTGCAGCCCTTCAGCGGTTCAAGAGGGGGCTTTTTACCTAGGAGTCGGCACAGTCGTCGGGTGAGCGCAGCGGGCATCCGCAAGGCGCTTGTAGTGTTGCGATGCCGCTGGCGTCGGTCGCAACAGAGTTTCGTGTGTGCGACACGCGCCGGGGCAGCCCTCACCCATGTCCTGCGATAGGTGCATTGATGCGGCACCTGGGTGGCCTAATGCTGCTGCTCGGGATCACATACCAGCAGCAACGCATCGTGCAGCATGGGGGAACCCGGCTGCCAGGACAAGGGAAATGGCAGTCACAAGCGCAGAGCGCCATCACCAGCAATCGCTTCGCAGCGCAGACGCGGCGCATGCACCAAGGCCACTGCCGCGCATCAAGCCTTGTGTCCCAAGTCCTCTGCACACAGGCTGTTGAGCGCCGCATCCTCACCCCCGCGCTGTGTCCACTGCCCTCTGGGAATCGCAGCAGCCCGCGAGGCGCATCCAGGGGCGGTGCAGGCCCGCGGCTGCGATGAGCCGGGCCGCGAGGAACGACTATGACTTCCTAATCAAGCTGCTGCTGATCGGCGACAGCGGCGTTGGAAAGAGCTGCCTGCTGCTCCGCTTCTCTGAGGAGTCGTTCACGCCCAGCTTCATCACAACCATAGGGTGGGCTTCTGGCTGGCGGCACCAACGCAAGCGCTTAGACCTGCCGTTATGCTGCTGGAGTGGTGCAGAGGCGGCAGTCAGCAGGGGGTGCAGGAAAAGGGAGTGCGCCTGAGCCCCAGGAGGGGGTGCGCATGAGCCCCAAATCAACATTTTGGTGCATGGATGTGCGCATTTGGCACGCGTGTACGTGCGTCTATCTCACGCTCATCTCACTGTCGCCCGCTCTTCAGTATCGACTTCAAAATCAAGAAGATCTTTTTGGACAACAAATGGGTGAAGCTGCAGATCTGGGACACGGCGGGGCAGGAGCGGTTCCGCACCATCACCAGCGGTGAGGGGCCTGGCAGAAAGGGTGGCAGTGACGGCGGCAAGAGCAGCAGCAGCAGGAGTGACAGCAGCGGCATGTACAGCGGCTGTTGATTTTGCAGCATTACTTCCTGGGTGACTACCAAACACCATGCAAGCTGGAGCATTAGAGGCAATTTGGGGGACCCGCAGCTGATGCGGTCACGGCACGCAGAGCATTGCAATGTAGTGGTCGAGGCTGGCAATGCCGCGGCCATGGCTGTTGAGGGCCAGCCCTGCCACTTGCGGCCTTCGTCCAGGCCACACGCGCGACCATTTTGTTCTGGTCCATTTCTTCACACAATGCTCTTTGAAACGCGCACGTACTCCCCGCCCCGTCAGCATACTACCGCGGGGCCATGGGCATCCTCCTGGTGTATGATGTCACCGATGAGGCGTCCTTCAACAACATACGCAACTGGATGCGGAACATCGAGCAGCACGCCTCGGACACAGTCAACAAGGTGCGCGCACGCATGTGCTGATCGGCGGCTCAAGGGGCCCGCCGTCTTGTCGCTTGCTGCCCACATGGCACCAGACCGGCCGGCTGCGAGGCGCCCTGTGCGCCCCTACGTCCGACGCACTGCTTCCTCTCCCGCGCACGACTCATGTGTTGTGGACATCGCACACAACGGAGCCGCCCGTCTATGCAACCCTAGACCTGGTTTGCTCGCATCCTCTGTCGGCACTCTCCCTACTACCTCCCAGATCCTGGTGGGCAACAAGAGTGATATGGCGGACGAGCGGCGTGCGGTGCCCTATGCGCGGGGCAAGGCGCTGGCTGATGAGTACGGCATCGCGTTCTTTGAGACCAGCGCGAAGGACAACAGCAACGTGGAGGAGGTGATGCGCCGGGGTGCTTGGTCGGGTGGGGCTCATATGCTTGGGCCGCTGCAGGGTTGCCGGCCGAGCCAGGGCCTAGGACGGGGAGCTTGTAACAAGGCAATGGCATGCGAGGTTGCCAGCCCGCCTCGGCGCACTCATGAGTCTTTTTTGTCACAGCGAAGCCCTGCAGGCTGCAATTCATGAGCACTGCCCCGCTGCCCGCGACGCGCCCGCGCCCCCCCTCCCTCAGGCGTTCACGTCCATCGCGCGCGACGTGATGCAGCGGCTGCAGCAGGAGCAGGCGGACCAGCAGGCGGCGTCCGCGTTGTCCCCCATCAACCTCACGTCGCAGCTCGACAGGGCGAAGCAGCGGAAGAAGAAGGGGTGCTGCGAGAGCTAGTGGCGCAGGTGCGTTGGCTAGCGGGGTGGCCCGCGCCGCCACGGCGCTAGCAGAGGGGCGCGGCGCGGGCAGGGGGCGGGCTGTTTGGCGTATCTGTCTCCCTTGCTTGGCATATCTCTCTTTGTTTATGTTGACTTGGCATGTCATTTTGCACGGATTTCACGTTTCTCGTTTGTGCGTATGAGTCTCACAGCTGGGGTCTAAGGGCAGGTTTTGCGGGGCTCCTGCATATGTAATTCTTCTCGATTACAGCGCAGCACTGTGCACATTATCTGCAAGCGCATCCAAGGCAAGCTGGACGCATACAACACACCGCCGTCCACGGTGTTCGAGGAGACACACAGCACGGGTAGCGGCTGCGCAGTATAAGTGCCCCACTCGTATGGAACCATATCCAGCACATCTCAATAACGGTATGAATCAATCTTACATCTTTGTCAACGCGCACATCATGGCATACACGGCGGTCTCGAACACGGGCTGGGCCACGATTCTCGCGAAACGGAAACCAGACGGCGATGCGCATGGTTTGATAGCAACCGATGCGAATCAATCAAACTTGAATGAGGAAATAAACACGATGGATCGACGGCTCGACCACTCGTGCAGCTTGAACGGCGCACCCGCGGTCGCACCGCTGCCCCACCACGAGCGCGGCCTGCTCGTGCTGCTCGATGCAGAACTGCCTAGTCAGCTAGAGCCGCCCCACACGATAGGGATCAATCCTGCACCTCAAGGTGAATAAATCACACATGTAATGTGATAACGTTATGCAACTGATGCAACGTAATGCATCAGCATGGAGGCGGCCATTGCCGCATGATGTGCCTGGCCTTGATGCAGCACTGGACTGCGATGTTGCACAGACGTGTCAGCTCGTTGCACCAACATACTCAACCCCTCTGGCGATAGGGACTGAACCTCTTAGCTGGAACGCTGGCGGCGGCGAGCCGCCCGCAGCTTGGTTCGTGTCTGCGGTGGGGCCGCGGCTGCGTGGGCTGCTGGCGGCCTTGCAACGAGAAGTGCGGCAGCAGCACAAGCGCACGGCGACCACAATAGCGCGCGCCCACGCCCGTTTGCTGGCGGTGAGCTGCACAGGGGGCCGTGGGCCCTGGCGGCGCAGCCAGCCGGTCGGTGTCAGGTGGCTTGGCTCGACGGTCGCACAATCCGCCGCGCCCTAGCATGTTGTTGGTGGTGCACGCATGTCTCGCACGCAGCATGGCACGCAATTGAGCGGTGCATGCCGCAAACCAGGCCTGCTCTGGATCACGGCGCATCTCCTCGTGCAGGATATGGGGGCAGCCAAGGAGGTGGATGTGGCGCACTTTGCGGCGCTCGTCCATGCGTGTGCAGACTCGCTTCGGTCTGCCACAGAGGGTGGCGCCCAGGGCCTCCTGAGCAGCAGCGGTGAGCCGCGCGCGCCAGCCGAACGGGGGCGGCGCGCCGCCGCTGGTGCGAGCAGCGCTCTGTCCACTCTGGAAGGTGACCGTCCGGGCTACTGAGACCTGTCTGTCAAGTTCTGCATCGAGGCTGAATTCTCTGCAGTCTAGTGCCACAGCGGTCCAGCCGTTGGAGCCGCGAAATGGTGGCACAGCAATTATTGGAGCAAGCCGGCACCAGCTTAAGCTGCCACATGCGACTGACAGAAGCAGAGGCTCCATCAATAGCCTGCCCCCACCTCGTCTCCCAACCTTTTCGCGTGACACACGCCATTCAGACGCTTTTGCACAGCAGCTGGTGGCTGCGGCGGCGGCCAGCTTCGGGCGTGCTGTCGAGGTGACAGTTGAAGAAAAGGACTTGGGGCACAGGGCCAGGGTGAGTGGCCGTACTGGCCCGGCGCCCTTGCTGTACCTTGCTGCACTGGCGGCCATGGGCCCGAATTAGTTGAGCGCCTCTAGCAAATGCGGCGTCGCCACCGGCAGATGTTCCGTGTCAGTACACGCGGTGCATTGCGTTGCGCCGTGCAAAAACTAGGGCTCGCGCCGCCAGACAGCCGGGCAATTGCACAACAGCAAACACAGACGAAAAGCGGCAAGGGTGCCGCGCCCCACTTGCCGCCGCAATCAGGTGGCAGCCCTGTCAGAGGCACACCGCAATGCGCTGGAGTCGCAGCGGCGCGCGGCGCGTGCGGAGGGTGACGCCGCCTTGGCGCTGCAGGCTGCACGGCTGGAGGAACGGCGCGAGACAGAGGTCGCGGCGCTGCGTGAGGCGCTTGCCCGGCGCGAGGCCGCGGCTGCGGCAGAGGAGAGGCGGGGGCAGCTGCTTCTTGAGAACACAACCAACCAGGTGTGGTGAGAGCTGGCAAGCCTTGATTAGAGACAACAATTTAGGTCTGGTGGACTTCATTGCTTGCCCACCAAATAGGCTTTCACGACAGTCTGTGCGTGAATCACACTTTGCCCCAAGGCACCAAAGCAGTGGAGCACATGATTTACATGCAGGTTGCACGCACGCATGCACGCATGCACGCATGCATGCATGCACGCACGCACGCACGCACGCACGCACGCGCACACACATGCAAGCTCACGCACACACGCAAGCTGCACGCACTGACCGAAACACTTACTACATCCACCCTTCTGCAGCTGGCCCACGTGCAGGAGGAGTTGGCAGTTGTCAGGCGCAAGGCGCAAAGCTGGCGGTCGAGATGGGAGCAGGTATCTGCAACTGGCAGCCGAGGCGGTGCTTGGGGCGCTGGTGGGCTAAGCGGGAGCGGGAGCGGGAGCGGCGCAGCTGGCGGCAGCGCAGCTTCTGAGGCCGCGGCCGCGGCGGCGACAGAGCGTGTGCGCCAGCTCGAGTGTGAGGTGGCGAGGCGGGACACGATTCTGATCAAGTGCCGGGACACCATCATCAACCTTGAGTCGCAGCTGATGGGTGCGCCGCAACGCCGCCCCATGGGTGTACGGCCGTGTGTTGACAGCTAATCCGCAAGGGTTCTGGCCAGCAAGCAGCAGAAGTCTCGCTAAAGCACTGCACTCCATCAACGCCGCCTCTGACCACACCTTGCGCCTGCCCGTGCAGAGTTGCGGAAATCAGCTGGGACGACTAAGGCTCCCGCGCCCAGCTGACACGCTCTTCCCAGCATCCGTGCTGCGCGACCAGCGGCAGGGCAGCCGGGTGGGCAGAACTGCATCACCAATGCATGGGCCAGAGCGTGTTGAAACCACGACCACTGTAATTCACCGAAACCATACAATCTCTCACGTTTTCATGTCATAGTGCGCCATTGAACGTTGATACGGCCCAGACGCGTCAGTCAGCAAGCGGTCAATCCGCTCCACAAGGCTGTGAAGCGTGTTCTGGAATATTATTTTCATCAGGATTGTTCATTATTCTGCCGGTGTCACTGGGCAGCTGACCAAGCGGCCCTGGGTCCCCGCACTCCTTCGACCAGCGTGCCGCGGCTGTGCCACCATGCCGCTGCCATGCATATGGACCCAAGATGTGAGTTCAACTTGATCTGGAACGGCACTAGCCTGCGACGCTTGATGGTCAGCATGTCCGCAATGTTCTGACGCGCGCTCGCTCACTACATCAGGAGGACGCGGAGCTGCGGAAGCTGGTTCGTGTGTGGGGCACCAATTGGGCCACTATTGCGCGCGAGATGCGGACCAAGTGCAGCAAGCAGGCGAGTGCCGCGTGGCGACGTGCCCGTGCAGTGACTGCTGCTGCTCGTGCTGTTGTGGCATCAATTGCAACGATCGCACCGCCATGCACCCCAGCAACACGGACCATCTTCATACTTGGCTTGCGAGCTGAAAGTGGGCCCAGAGCCCGCCAGCAGCCCTGGTCAGCACTTTTTCTTTGCCCCGCTGACCACTTTCCTTCGCTGCCGCGTGTGCGCGCAGTGCCGCCGCCGCTACGTCAGCCTCAAGAATGCCCACACCATGCGCAGGGGCAAGTGGAGCAAGCAAGTGAGTGAACCGACCCACCCTGCCTTTGTAGAGCGTGGCACGACGGCCGCTATGCACCGTCCTCACGTCGCACAACCCTCCGTCGTCTGCCGCAAACATTGCCTTGTCCTGCGACCGTCCTCGCTAGCCAAAGCCCGCTGGCCTCACGCCTGCCCCGCCGGCCCTGCCTGCCTCGACCCACTTGCTGCAGGAGGACGAGCAGCTGCTCAGGCACTACCGCAAGTGGGGCAACAGCTGGACCAAGATCGCGCAGTTCATCGGCGGGCGCACCGACAACGCGGTGAGCTCCATGGTCCGCCCGTGCGGCGCCCATACACCGACCTCCGCATCTGCGCACGCATGGGCATGGCTGGCTGCACACACCAGCATGAGGCGTGGGGGGTGTAGGGGTAGGCCCCCCCAAAAGGCGGCGTTCCATGGGTGCCGCTGAGGGGTCCACGGAAAGGGGCGGGCCGGCTGCAAGGGCGTGGGGGAGGCGGGGTCTCCGCGCGACGCAAAGCTCACCTCAAGTCGCCCTGCTAGCTGCCTGTGCCGCGTCGCAGGTTTTGAAACACACACACCTCACCCCAACGGCCCCGTGCCCCCTCGATGCGCCACGCAGGTGAAGAACCGCTTTGTGACGCTGTGTGAGATGGGCCTCGTGCACCGCAAGCCCGGCCGCTCCGCGCGCCGCGGCTCGCACGACGACGACTACGACAGCAGCTGCTCGATGGAGTACGAGGAAGACGAGGAGGCGGACGGCGACGAGGACGGCAGCCGGGGCGGCGGCAGGGGCGCCTGTGAGGGTGTGTACGGCGACGACGAGGGCTACGAGTCGTGCCACGACACGTTCACCGGCGGCACTGAGTCTGAGTATGCGATGGAAGACGAGGGCGGCGCCGCCGCGCGGTCGCACTCGCCGATGCGCGCGCCGCACGGGGCGCGTTTCGGCGCGCACGCCCCAAGCTCCTCGGGCACCAGCTGCGGCACCGCGCACCACCACGGCGGCGCCGGCGCCGCGGCGCACTCGCGCTTGGGCTCGCCGATGCGCCACGACGCCGCACGTGGCAGGGGCGTCAGCCGGCTCGGCGCGGAGGCAGCCGTGGCCGCCGCTACGCAGCAGCAGCGGCGGCAGCAGGGCCGAGGCCATCACGGCCAAGAGCACCCCGACCCACACTGCGGCCTGGCGTCGCTGCTGCTCGCGGACGACTTCCTGCAGCTTCTTAGCAGCTGCATGGGCGTAGAGGGCGTCGACGAGACAGAGCAGCAAGAGCAGCAGCCCGCCCCGCTCGCCAGGCCGCCGCCTGCCACCCACCTCCTGCCGCTCAGGCTGCCGCCACAGCTGTCCGTGGCAGCCTCGCCCGTGGCAGCCGCCGCGCCGTACGCGCCGCAGCGCGAGGCGGAGCAGGCGCACGGCGCAGAGACGCCGCAGCAGGCGTCTGGGAGCGACGCCACCGTGCTGGACCCTGCCGCCATTGAGCACCTCGCGGCGCTGGCCCCCCTGCTGCTTGGCTGCAGCGCGGG